GGAGTTGGAGGTTGCTGTGAGCTGTAATGCCACGGCACTCTACCCAGGGGGACAGCTTGAGGCTCTGTCTAAAAAAAAAAAAAAAAAAAAAGAACCCGTGGCAGGTACCATCATCTGATCCACTTGCAGTTTTAATTTCAGGATGGGAGCATATGGGAAGCAAATAGGAGACTTCTAACCCTTGTCATACTATTAAGGAAGAGAGGGGGTGAAAAATTGCTTCTGGGCTCTGTGTGTGTGTGTTAAATACATATACATGTGACAGCCTCATTGAGGTATAACTCACATTGATAATAGTCACCCTTTTAAAATAGACACTGCAGTGGTTTTTCGTATATTCTCAGTGTTTAGCCCTTTATTCTGATTGTTGGGAGGGTTTGTTCTCTTTTAAATAAAGCTTTCTTTACAGCATTTCTTCAGAGCCTAGGGACTTAGAACATTGCTACACGGAATCTATACGATCAACTCATGCCTTTTACACAGAGCAATCTCAAAGATTTCCTTTATGAAATAAATTTTCATCTCGCTGGTAGAATGTTTGCGTACAGTCGCTTTTGGTGAGACACCTGCAGTCTCTCAACTACAGATTCACTCAACTCGTCCAACTCGAATAACTCATTCATTCATCTCAGACTTACTCGGGAATAGGCCTCACTGATTGGTTGGTGCGAAGTGACGTCCTCAGATCGCGTCCTCAGATGGCAAGGGCCGCGAGGTTATGAGGCTGGGCGGCGGAGGGTGGCTTCGGGTTTTTTGGCAGTTGTGCTCTCCTCTCCCTGGCCTCGGTTTTAGCAGGACCTGGGGTGGCTTTAAGGGCCGGATGGCGGAAACGCTCTCGACTCATGTTGATGCAGCAGGCGGGCTGGGAGCTCCGGCTCACCAAAACGGAGAAGCTAGTGGCGAGGAGACGGGCGAGCAGTTCTCAGGACATTCAGAACAGACGGGCCCGGGGTTGGAGCTGGCCCCGGGAGGCGCCGAGCAGGCATCGGCCACAGTCCCGGGCCCAGGCAAGCGGAAGAAGCGGCGGGGCGCAGCCGGGGAGCGCGTCGTACCGCCGCCGAAGAAGCGGCGGGCTGGAGTGAGCTTTGGTGATGAGCACTTTGCAGAGACTAGCTACTACTTCGTACTTCGAAGGCGGCCTTCGCAAGGTGCGGCCTTATTACTTTGACTTCCGAACCTACTGCAAAGGCCGTTGGGTGGGCCACAGCTTGCTGCACGTCTTCAGCACCGAGTTCCGAGCCCAGCCAATGGCTTACTACGAGGCCTCCGTACGGGCGGGCCGCCTGCGTCTCAACGAGGAGCCGGTACAGGACCTCAGCATCGTGCTCAAGGTGGAGTTCTGCTGGGGCTGGCCAGAATCGGGCGAGGAAGAGGGAAGGGTTATTTTCACACTTAGTAGAGCATAGGTACTGAAGTGAAATCATGGCAAATCTGAAGCATTCTCACTTTCACTTGAAGCACTATTAGGCCCGGCTTCCCGTCTCTGCAAGTAGACAGCCACTCTGTGCCTCAGAAGTCATCCTATTTATACTGTCCAGCAAGGTGGCTTCCTTGTTTGCAAGGGACAAAAGTGGGATTCTCATAGTTCCTTTTATACACTATGGCAAGAGCACTGATCACTTGCTATCCTGCATTGTAGATCTCTCTACAAACAGTAATAATAGGGACTATCACTTATGTCTCTTTACTTTGTGCTGGGTACAAAGTTAAGCATTGTATGTACTTTAACCTTTAATTCTTTTTTTTTTTTTTTTTT